CSSYTKSCMMYTTYYTWAWTYCYTWKTTYYWWTTWAGCTTAAAGTAAGCAAATCACCGGTGATAATTAGATMGTGCGCTGTGGGACTTTAACATCTACTTAATCAATACTTTGTTGGAGAGCCGGAAACTGCTAGTTCATCAGTCCTGATATACTTCTCGCGACGCATGAGTCTTGAACACCATCTAGGAATTAAAACTTTGCTAGCCTTATTCATGTGACAAAACAATAATTGAAAATCCTTAAGATGATAAATRKAGACAGTTTGTTTCTCAATCAGACCTCACGTTCACGTATTTTAAGAGYGTATACGCAAACGCCTTAAAGAGACCGACCATTGATCATTTGATAAAAGTCTTTCAAAACGTGATTATTTGGAACAATATATTGATTAAATGGGCATTCATTTGTTTCTTATTATCTTGTAATATATAATTTGTATTGTCATTGAGTTGTGTATCAAGCAATATCTCGATATAAAGGTGGCTAACTACTTTATAAAAGTCCTAAGTGCTTATGTGTGCTTAGGACCAAAGTGAAACAAGCGATTTCACCCTGTCTATGTCTACCATCTTAGTTGACAGAAACTTCACGTTAACTGCAATTCATTGGGACCTTAGTTTTTATTATGAAATATGTTTAATTGCTAAGAAACACGAGCTGAATATTAGTCAAAATCTTTGATATGAATTGATTTTATGACTATACGTCGCCAAGGGTAACGGCAAGAGCTTCCTCTTGACGTCATTGCCAGTCACTTTGTGTAGCTACCCAATTGATGCAACAGAGGTCCTTTTTCCTCCATAACAACAACATCATTTCAATGTTACGAAATAGTCCTCAAAGTCTTTGACTTTCTCTCACACGTACCTATAGCCAGTACACGTGCAATGTGTAGGACGCGTATGAGTCACCGTTAACTGTGAGAAAGAACTAGTCTCATTTCTGTGTGTAAAGGGCTATCAACTGCCGGCATCCCTTGCGAGCTTATGTTTCCATTTGTTAACATTAAACGTATTGTAACCAAAAACCCACTCATAATTAATCCTTAATGCTCCGTGAATTGAGATATTGTACGATAGTTCCACTCAAAAACAACGGATGGACACGGATTGTAAAAGAATTAGTATTTGACGTCAAAAATTACAGTAGGCGAGTCATCTTTGCTTAGAAAGACTGAATCATCAAAATTAAAAAGATAATTGATAATTTAAAGTTACCTGCGGATAAGTCATTAAAAAGTCAGGTGTTGCGGTAACGTTTAATCAGAGTTAATTAGAATTTTTGGACGTGTCATATTGGAGCCAGCCGAACAAAAACGTATCAATCCAACTACGAGCAGAAAATATAAACATTGGTTTGATTTTATATATTTTTACTCATTGTCTATTTAATACTTATACTGTAGTATTTATTCATATCGGCCATGGCGCTGTTTCACTGATGGTGCAAACGGAATAATCCAAAATAATCTTAATTAAGATGTGCGAATGTGACTTTATGACTGTTTCTTCTAGCTCTCGCGCGCAGAAGAAATGCCGTTTAAGGAATTTAAGGTACTGACAACGTACCACAATGTCACATCTTACCTTAACACGAATTCTTTCCACTAACTAAACGCCAAAATATGTCCTTGAGAAACTGAATTGGAGGCTTTCAACGATGCTACTTCACCAAACCCAATCACCTGAACGATATTAGGTTTTTTATCATTTCAAATAGACTAATTAAAGATTATTGTTCAGGCAGCTTTGTACTAGAGCTATATTACTTTTTTATTCTTCTCTTGATAGTCCCAGGAGGTAAATGTAATTGTATTAGTCTTATTTTAATTATGCTTATCCAACTAGAAACCCTAGAGGAATTGGATTTTTTACAATGAAATTTTTCTCTTTTTACACCAGAATATAGGCAATGTACAGCGACGCCATTTTGTGCAGCAAAGCATGATGGTAGTTGTCGTACTCAAACTTATTATAAACAAAAAAATATCTCCCTGAAAATCGTTTTTACACTTTATTTGTAAAAACTGTACAACTACTTCAGTTTTTTTTGTAAGAAAAAGCCAAAGTTGCTTAGGAGGACTGTTGTAGCGGACATGAAAAAGTACGAGGATTACAACCATCATCATGCTTTGCTGTACAAAAATGGCGTCGCTGCACATTGCCTGTTGGGCTCCTTTTGTAACTTGAATTGTGTAACAGCCTCTGAATAGACAATTTCCACACTGCATGGGCGCTTCAGTAAAAATATCACAGGCGAGCGAGATAAAGAGGTATTTTCGGTCTGTTTTCCAAAAAATCATGTTTTTTTTTTCTGAAAATGCCCTATTCTTGGTGTGCAACCATGTGACCAAGAATCCCCTGAGAAGTATAGAAAAAAGCTGTTGCCGCCATGTCGGATGAATGAACAAGAGAAACTAATGAGGAATACTCTTTGTGATTTTCATCCAACATGGCGGCGATGACATAACATGCACTCCAAGAATTACTTTTATCGATGCGCCTGCGATACTTTTGAACGAGCTTCCGCAAACCTCGAAATTCGTCAGCTGTGACACAGGAAACACGAATAGAGTTTGCGTTCAYCAATTAGAGTCCGGGGACGAGCAGCCGTTGAAGCAATAGCATATGACAACGGAGAATAATAACGACATACATCAGAAAGTAAGTTTTCAATTRTTGTTCGTCGCTCCTGCCACCTGCATTTCAGACAACACTGTTATTAATMCATTTTATACATATTAAATTTATTCAATTCTAGGAAGCACTGAGCTTATATTKCGAGTMGCTACACTYGAATCATTTTGTCCACTGGAACCAGACTTGTCAGTTTTCCACTTGCAGATCCCAAAAACTCGAAACATCTCCTTTCTCAAGTCCGCACGTAAWGACGAATAAATTATCGGATTGACAAATGAAGAAGCATGAACGCACCAGGCCGCCGCTGACTTAATTCCCGAGGAGAGACTTGCACCCACAAACGACAAAGTCCTGGTAACTACATAAGGAGTCCAGCACGCGAGAAAAACAAATATGATGACGACGGAGACTTTGGCAAGCTTGAATTCTATATTTGCTGAGACAGATAAGTTTAGAAATGTAATTAGAAAAGGAAACAGATGTCAACGACTATTTATATATACAAAAAGAGGAATTAGAATTTGTTTACTTCACAACATACCGATAGCGAAACTCAAGTTTGCGGTTTAGATTATGCTRTGAAGCTCTTACCTCGTCTATTCTGAGCCTGCTGAGTTCGGTTTCTGAAGATGCTGTTKCCCCTTGCACCTTCACTKGAGTCATAGTCCATTATTCGCCTATTYTGAGCGCGTACTAAAATCTGTGTCCAAGTATTCAAAGCTATAAGTATGCATAATGGAAATCCCACATGGATCATCATGATGCTCAAAGTGAAAGCTAAAGGTCGAGTGCTCCAGGATAAACTACAGTCAAAAGGTTGATACGTTACTTCTAGAGTAGCTGCACAWAGAATGAAAAACAACGCGCCATGAATCCAGGGGTACGCGATGATGACCACTTTGGTTTTTGGGTTCATCCATCGGTTATATCGCAGTGGAAAGCCGAGGGCAAGGAAACGATCCACGCTCAGCATTACCAGCGTAAATACAGAGGTRAAGAAGAATGAATATGATGTTAGTCCTCCCACAGTACACAGAAACCCACCATTTCTAATAATATCGTTRTTAATAACCGTTGCAAGCTGGTACGTTAATGGGAAAGCAGCAGTTAGAAAGTCAGCCATTGCAAGACTCATGATTAACTTGTTGGCGAAGCTTGCCCGGAGTCGTCCATTTCTGATGAACGCCAAAATCAGTAGAAAGTTCCCAAAGAGGCTCAGTGCAACGATGATAGCTAGCGAAACTGACAGTGAGATAATTTCAAGGCTGGATCGAGTTATTGTGTCGTTGTTGGTCCTGTTCATCGTTCACTGATTCGATGTCGGGTATTACACTGTACAAATACATAAAAACATGTTAGTATACTTAGCAACAAATTTGCCTTCRAAGATATTTAACTGAAGAAAATGTAGACGTGAATCACCTCAGTTGGCGACAAACAACTAGTTATATATATTCAGAACATACTGATCATGATATGAGTAAACTAGCGACCCTATTGGCTATTTTATTAATAGGATATGGGCCACAGCCAAATTTGTCCGAATACTTGTCGCCTATCAACTCATACTAGACACGATTTTATGGAACATTGCTTTTCAAGCTGAAGCACTCTTTCAATTTTAAACACATTTTCATATACAGGCCTGAAAAGTTCTTCGTGTTTTTGTAATTATAATTTGTTACTATGAAACTCCTAAACTCCATCAAAAAAATCTCCTTTCAAGCCTGTTATTTTAATTAGAAAAATAAGTCATTGCCATAACAACTCTAATAGAAATGGCAAATTTCCATCAATTTATCCGTGTGCCCTCCAGCTTTTAACCCATGGCTTAAGAATATGTATAAAAGCGTTTTTATCGCGAACAATGGTCAGTAACCCTGTACACCTGGCTAAACCAGCCATAGGAGTAAGATCTTCTTAAGATCCCTGCCCTCTTTACAAGTTGATGATGTCAAGTGGTGTGATTTCTACAGTATTATGAAAATTGCGATTGTTTATTGTAATAATTAGTATCGATATAAAAATATATTCATATGCATGCAATCTGGTTGGCCAACGACAAGAGATCTATTCTCATTAGAGTTGTTGATCACAGTGAAAGTGTCAATAACTATTTGTTACATAGTCAGGATAATTCAAAACTGATTGCCCTACCGCACGAATAGAGATAAAGTTTTGATTATGTATGGGAAGTAGCTTCCCCATTGTGGTATACGTCTTTTAATTATCACTGAAGAGATGAAATTTGTAATATCTTAGACTCAAACTACGAACTACTTAGATCACTTTACTCTTGAAAATGGTACCTGATCAGTGGCACCGAAACGTCAAGTTCACTTGTCGTAATAAATTTGATAGTATACTATATCCGAGATGAAAATGTGTAAATAGAAATGGTGACCGCGCGCGTTAGCAAGCCGAACATGAAAATTACGATTGACAGATGAAGAAGACAGGTAAGACGAATTCTTGGTTTCGCCGGCACTGATGGAAAATATTACCACGAAAAGCAAGAGAACGAAGCTATTACCACCATATTGGATGAATGAACAAATGAAGGCTTTGTTATCTACTTCCAACATCCAACATGGCCGGATGACTTAACGTTGATATCCTGCAAAGCAAGAATAGTGAACCCCACTGAGAAAGTCACAACGTCGCTAAAGTATATTGCTCTTTCTTTATCTATAGATAAATTTGTATAAAACTCAAATACTGCAATAGAACAACCTGGAACGTCAACTTTGTAAACAATGCGGGGGTGAAAATGTCAGTTTAAGTACTCGACACTTTAAAATTGACTTTTCTAAAAACTTCCCCACACGTATACTAATTCACCAGAGACAAGAAAACATTGAAAGCATTGCATTTATTATACCAAGTTCATTCCGTGCAATATCCAATTTTTTCTCTATCTTTTCTATCCGCAAAATGAGCTTATAGTCATGCCGTACACAGGAGAAATAATAATTCATGAAGCTAAACAATGTCTACTGTAAGGTACAAATGCCCCCTGAGTCTTTCTCCACCTGCATCCCTGTATTTCAAAAATACCAAGAACAGAGACGATTGCTGTGCGTGTAAGTTCCATCAATTAATTGATTATATAATTGCGTGTAGAGACTAAATTCGTATCGTCAGTCTGGGCCCACTAATCGAGAAATGATAATTGATTATTGAGAAATATAAAACATTCTTTGGCATGGTACCCGCCCACATTGTAGGGGATTGTCGAGCAAACTTGAGGGTGACTAAATGTCTTCCCGTAGATAACCAGCATGTTTGATGCATGGCTCTATAAACTTTCAACACTATTACATTTGTAAATGATGAATCAAAACGGTAAAGCAACAATGTTTTATGCATTTCAGTTTTCGAAAGTTAGTTCTCTGGCAACTCAACTCTAGGTCAACTGATACATACCGTACACTTTTCTTTTCTTTCCATCCATTTCAGTCATTTCATTTTGTATCTAATATTTCAGGGAAAAGCGCACTGAAATATTCTTCTCTAAAAGTCTTTTACGGTATTGTCGGAAGTCGTTGGCAAATTATTCACAAGCCGAACTATTATGCAAACTGTCAGATACAAACGACAAATAATTTCACTGGTGATGGCCGGATTTAAGCCACTCTAAGAGATTGTCTCCTAAATATACTGATGTTTAGAAGTGATGTTTAAACTTTTAAGTTTATTCTTTTTTCGTATGTTTCGGTACCAAAATTTTATGCAAAACGGTTACATCATGACAAACGGCTGAAAATGACTATCTATTTACACGATTCAATTTCATCACGTCTTCCAAAAGTGTTCATATCTACTATAAGGACAGGACAGGTTTGACAAGTAGACACGCACAGAAATAGTTTACATTCGAATCTATTACAAACCGTTTACTTAACTGTACAATAGTTCCGCGCGGACTTGCTTCCGTTTTTAACGCCTCGTTGTACAACTGCTTTTTATGCTTTCAAGACGTTTATAATAAAAGTGCTCTAAGTTATGACACCAGACTGCTAACAGACATACGGAGCACAATTACTTTTGTAAATTTTACCTTCAATTTTCGTCGTCAACATCGCTCGTTCCTTAATTACCAATATTCATGGCTTCCGTTTTTGGCCCTCGTTATACAATTGCTTTTTATACCTTCAAGACGTTTATAGCACAAGCACTTCAATTCACCACAACATGCAGACATGTGAAAAGCAATCACTTTTGTAAATTTTACCTGCAATTTTCCGTGCTGTCAATATCTCTTGTTTCTTTAATTGTCAATATCCTTTCTGCTGGACTTTAACGTGAGGAAATATCCCAGTTAATAGTTAAAAAAAAACACAGCGGGAAGCGAAGGCGTGCAAAGGTCCATTAGATTAAATTTTGGTTATAACAACATCTGCACTGGCGAACTTTAATTAAACATGAGGCCGTGATTGAATTCAAAAAGCCAAAAACAGAATCCACATAAAAATAATTTATTAGTTTGGCCCAGATTTAAGTTGTTGTTTTTTCGTTTTGTTTTTTTAATCTGCGCACAGATACGGTTTTCGCTTCCGCAATATTTCTTTCTCGAACCTACTGTAGTGTTACCAAACTTAAACCTTTCAGCCGGTCATTGACGTACGTGCAAAGAAGTCGCACAAAATGTTTCACGAAAATGAAAGACATTAACAACTGAACAAATACCATGAAACTAAGAAAAAATGATAAATCTTACCTTCTTGGCAAATTCTAAACTTAGCAATTGACGTAGCCCAGTATTATTATAATATTTCARTGGGTTTTGATCAGTTTTAGGRCGTCGTTGCCGTAGAGTAGCAACATCTTTCTAATTATCGATGTTTACTTCAAAAAAAGAAAAGAAAATTCGGGACAGCTGTTTAAATAGAAATTAAGTTATTTGCATTCTGTTTAGATATGCGTGGCCAATGATAATCATTTCTCTTATCAATGATTATTGTATACTACAGTGGTTTACCTAGATATGGCTATTATTTTACTGTTCGTCTCACTATTTTATAGAATTTATCGTTGATTAGTATCATAAGTTTTAAGAGTTTTATTGCCTTTAAGACACCGCAACATTGATTGCAGCGATAAAGGTGCTCTCTCAGATATTGAATCCCCAACGCATTTCCCCTTTATAATCACCCAGTTTAATTAGCTATTATGATCTTATAACGGTTAAGGTGTTAACAGAGCGTTGAATTTCTTAAAAATACGTAATTACTTCTAAATATTTATAATGTAGTATATGTTATTACTTGTCAATTCAGTCTCTTTGGCGTTCATTGGCCCTTGAAATCCTAGCTGCTGAAGTCGTCTTTTGAATTGAAATGTCAAACTCAAATTTACTTTCCTCTCAGTTATAGGTGATTTAAAGCAATGACGGATGAATGGCCATAGTTTAGTATAAAGAAGTGAATAAAACAGACTGCGATATAGTTAAGTTTACTAACGTGCAAACGTTAACACAATCATAAAAGGTTTCAAAGAATCACTATAGCGTGAGCAATTTCGAAGGTAGTGTAACGATTTTTCAGATTTTTGCCTGTTTTTTTTTTCATTGTTCATCTCGTCTGTTCCCACAGGCAGCCTACCCATTAAGTTTTTGGCTCGCAGTAATTTCACGTCCTTTTGGCAGTCACAACAATAAAGATCAGTTAGATCACTTGCTCGTGCTAATCGTAACAACTCTAAGATTGACAGTAGGATAAGTCCTTTGTCTTCGAAAAATGTGAAACATTTCTCGTCGCAGATCTGCTCGAAGAGACGAATAAATCATCGGGTTAACAAAAGTGGAAGCATGCGCTGTCCAAACGGACCCTGACATTGTTCCTGACGAGAGAACGAATCCTAAAGACTCGAGGGACCTGGTAGCTGCATACGGGGCCCAACATACTAAAAACACAAATATGATGATGATTGACACCATGGCTAGTCTTGATTCAATCGTTGCTGAAAATAAGATATATCAATATATTAGTGAACAGAGATTGCTTGTATGAAAGATGGATATTAAATTGGCCACCCGGCGGATGATATAATTAAAGACTGTAATCTGGTGGATTCGAATATATTTATGATCATTTTACTGCATCATTTCTAAGGCTTTATTCGGTGGATAAGATTATTCAACCCGCGAATAGTCGGCTTCACGCTTATAATGTAACCCTCCGCGGCGTGCACTTCCGCGTCACGTGGTCGACTTTCGACCAATAATAGCGGAGGAAAATTTTTTGCTGAACTATATGAATGCAGAGCGTGTGAGGATACAGCGTTCAATAAAGTTTTATCAATATTGAGCAATTATATGCTTCCCTCTTATGATGCAGAGTATATTTCATTTCCTTCTACGCTCTTTGTCCGGTTCAATGATGACCGCATTATGCACACGGCACTTGGTATTTCATTTACAATTTCTTGAAGTTAACAAAAAGTTGGAAATAACTTGGATTTGCGTATTTATGTCTCCAGATACCAATTTGACATTTTTTGTAGATAGGTTTTTTTGAACTTAATCAAACATACTTATCAAACAAAGGATGATTTCTTTATCACTTTTGAAGATTATATTTGACAATGATGCGTCAGTACAAGAAAACATGAAATAACGCCGGTCCACGCACCTGACAATTATATTAAAGTATAATTTAAACTACATGACAGGATATTCGCCCGATAGTGGTTGCATTATTGAAAATTTATACAGTGAAAGAAGAGTCTGCATGATTAGTTAAATTTGTACACAGAAA